CACTCATCTACTTGAGTCAGAGCAACAGTGATGAAGTAAAGGTACTAAGTGATTTTTGTAATTTTGCAATGTTACACTTTGAGGGGGGAGGGGTGGGGGAGTTAACATTATTCAGCACAAACGGATTTAAATGCATTATCCAAAACCTTCTTTTTGAATGTAGTATGAATATTCAAATTCTTGATACGCTGCAAAGCGCAAAAATGGAATTTGGGATGAGAAACAATGAATACGTTTTGGAAATGATCCGGTCGTAAATCAGCAAATTATAGGATTCCAATTCTCATTCCGATTCTGATGCCCCCATTGACAAGCCCTTAGCCCTTAGCCTTGTCAAGATCTAAATGTTTTTGCAATAAATACTCTTTACAAACCTGATCTTGAACAGAGGACTCGTCATCTCCCCCAAACTCATCTTCATCACCCTCGTCTTCCTCGTCCTCTTCTTCTTCGAGTGTGGTCGGTTCTAACTGGCTAAATCGTATGCGCTTAAAAAGACAAAAAGCAATTGAGAAAACACATTCAATGGATCTTTCATCTGAGCGATGCTTAACTAATCTAAAATTCACGCTTGATACAACAAGGCGAAGTAATCACGTGGCCTTTTGGCAGAAATTTCATAAATGGTTTTCAAAAAGATCTTTCGAAAACTTACCTGTTCTTTCTTCTCGGGTTCATTCAATTCTCTGTGTTTAACCACTAGCTTAGAAACCGCTGACCGCACACCTCCAATGCCACCGCGTGCTCGGCGCTTGCTCAGACGAACCCTAAAGAAAAATACAATGATATGAAGCTTTTATCTATCTCTCTTCACAATAAGCCTGAAGCGAGATGACGTTTTACCCCCGACTTTATACCATAATAGTTTTTAAAATTCTTTCATATTAAAATTTTTGATTCCTTAGAGAATACAGGAACAATAGTCATAATTAAAGAACAAAAGCAATATGAAAAGGATTATGGTCTAGAGACGGGGGTAAAGCGTCATCTTGCTTCAGGCTTATTGGATGGGCTTCCACTCTGGCATTATTCAGATGCAGACTCGTACCCAGTCGTCACTCACGCTTTTTTAATGCGAGCGCGATGGCTTTGGGAAGGAGAGAGAAAAAATGATGCACCGCGAACTCACTAAATCCTTCCCATCAACCACAGCGTGAGATCAGTGAGACAAGAGAAGCGACTGGGTACGGATCTGATTCAGATATGCAGCCCTTGTTGTCCGTCGTTGGTCCCAAAATGATAGTTTAATAAACCAAGGTTAATTATTTCTTACTATTTTTTTATTATAGTAAGAGTTTTTTTTAAAGCGTGACGTCATTCATATGGATGGAGGAGGCTTTAAAATCATTGAGGAAATATTTGGCTTTATCTTAACGGTGTTTGTGAGTAGGTGGACCCAGAAATACGTCACGACTTAAAAACTGGAGCTCTATTAACATACACACCAAGTAAAATAAAAACAAACGTTAATAACCTTTTTACAATCAAACTTACAAAAGTGACTTTACCTTACCTTGTAACTAATTCATTATAAAAGACGCCTTCACCTTCTCGAAATACGAAAAAGTAGTTTTCCTGTTGCAACGAGAGAAAAAAAACGTTCTTATTTAGCATCGCTTGTTAAAATGGAAAATTATGCCATAGTAATTCGAAATGTTTGCTATGTCTTATCCCTAATAATCTGTTCTTATAATACTAAGGCCTTTGAACAACTAGTTATGCGGCACAGCAGAATGGGTAGCATGGGTGCCGTTCGCGGCTAACGCGTCGTCTTTCACCGCTGTGAGTCCAACGGGTCGGGTCGTTGGTTCGAGCCCTGCGGTCGCCACATGTGAATTGAGTTTGTTTGATGTGTTGTTCTCTCCTATGCTACGAGGGTTTTCTCCGGGTTCTCCGGTTTCCTCCCTCCGTAAAAATCAACATGTGAGTTGAGTGTTGTGTGCATAGAATATTAAATGTAGTGGTAGTGCGTGTGAGTGAAAAGTGTCCTCAATTAGTGCGAAAGCGCTAGAACGACTAGACACTTAAATAAAGTGATTTATTAAGTGATTTATGGAATGTTCTATACCTCGTATCCCTTGGTAGCCTTATTCTTGACAGTCCAGTTGTACTCTCTTGCCATATTATATTCATAACTATTAAAAGACAACAACAACAATTGATTGTTCATTCCTATTGCAGTACTTCTGAATAGCACGCGCGAAATAGTACAATAAGACGGAATGAAAAAATAGGGTTTTGGCGAACAGCAATCAAAGACTCCATGACATTGTTTGGGGAGTTTTCAATGACACGTCCATAAATGTTATGTAACGCCTTGATTGACATCTACCAAAACCAGCTTTGTCTCACATAAGCTTTCCTAATTCTTCGTCTAAAATCCCATTAATCCACCCTGGTCTCCCAAGGTAAAATTTGTTAAAGTTTCGACTGCATGACTTTCCGTAAAAATCAACAAAGAACAAAAAACCCTCTAGATTTCAGGGTACAGTGATCAAAAGAAATGACATATCTCAGTCCAACTTACTCCTCATCTTCCACATAATCTGTAGCGACTTCTTGATCTCGTTTTCTTTTTCCTAGTGTTACTTTGTTTGGGAGAAAATAAGCGACAAACTGATCACCACTAGCATCAACCATACCTCTGAAAACAGGAATCAAGAATGATGGGTTAATTTTACTATTTATGTTGATGATGATAATGGATACGATGATAACAGTGATGTTGATGATGGTGGTGATGACAATGATCATGATAATGATGACATGACCGCGGCTATGATGATAATGCTGACTGATATTGTGATGGTGATGACAAGGATCATGATAATGATGACATGACCACGGCAATAATGATAATGGTGGCTGATGATTATTATGGTGGTGATGACAATGATCATGATAATGATGACATGACCGTGGCTATGATGGTAATGCTGACTGATATTGTCATGGTGATGACAAGGATCATGATAATGGTGACATGACCACGGCAATAATGATAATGGTGGCTGATGGTTATTATGGTGGTGATGACAATGATCATGATAATGATGACATGACAGCAGCTATGATGATAATGCTGACTGATATTGTGATAGTGGTGACAAGGATCATGATAATGATGACATGGCTGCAGCTATGATGATAATGCTGACTGATATTGTGATAGTGGTGACAAGGATCATGATAATGATGACATGGCTGCAGCTATGATGACAATGCTGACTGATGATTATTATGGTGGTGATAACAATGATCATGATAATAATGACATGTTGACCATGGCTATGATCATGGTGACTGATGATGACCAAGATTATAACTATAATGATAACTTTGATGATGGTGATGGTGATGGTGGGGGGGTTGGGGGTAGAGAAAAAACAAAATTACGAACTTTGTATGGAAGAAAAATGGAATTTCTAGTAAACTAGTGAATAGGTAGATAGTAAGAAGTCTGAAACAAGAGGTTTATTCACTAACCTGATCATTGCCTGGCTCATTTCATCTTCCTTGGCTGGTCCTTTCTGATCACGTGATGTTGGATCTGTATCAAACACCACATGAGCACAGGCATATGACCACATTTGAAAGTCTGGAAACACTGGTAACACTTCTACAGGGGTGATGTTCAGTTTACTTGGATGATGATGAATCTGATTAGGAAAAAGAAACAAAGATTGATTATTAGACGACTACAATGTATTTTATTGGCTCCATATAAACATATTTACATTGGATTGCTGCCAATAAAAATATAGAATAATTTAATTAACTAATTAACTAGTAGTTCAGCGATCGCTGCCCATCAATCTATACGTAATGTCTTTTCCTTTTTTCACCAAAATATTAATAAGTTAAATT